TCAGCGCATCTCATCTTGGCACAGTGGAATCACCAGGGGAGATTTGCAGGTCTAAACCTAAGTCACAGCCAGTGACACCAGGACCTCTGGGCTCTGGACAGAGGCATCAGTAGTTTGGAAGCTCCCAGGTGATTCCAGTGAGCAGCCAGTTGAGATCCACTGTGTTACCTTCACTCCCAGGGAGTGTGCAGTTCGAAGCAGAAGCTCAGGTTCAAGTCCTGACCTTTCTGCTTAGCCCAGTGACCTTGGGCAAATGCCTAAGTCCTAAGTCTCAGTTTCTTCTCATTTGTTACCGGGAGGGCGAGGAGGTTCATACCCACCTCATACGACGGTCCTGCAGAGCAGATGGCATGTGTGCCGTTCTTTCTTGCTCGAGCACGTACCTGAGTGCTGCCCTTTACATCATTACACAGCAGTAATCGTATTCGTGTGCTATTTTTTAAGTTGTTTTTTTATATCAGCTTTACCTTAAGTAGATTATAACCTCCCTGGGGACAAAGCCTTATAGTCTTACACTTTTTTTTTTTTTTTTTAATACTCATAGCACCTAAGGCCCAGAGATAGGATTTTTAGAACTGGAATAATCCTAGCTCTTCTCATCCACCCGAAGGCATTGAAGAATACTTGCTGGTTAATTAATATGCAAGTGGTAAAGAATGTGAAGGAGGCACCCATGAGTCAGATGGTCGTGCCCAGCTTCAGTTGAAAGACCCAGTTCTGCCTTTCTCAGCTAACAGGGTAGGGGTGGAGGAGGGTGTTGGGGCAAGTCATAGCTGGGCCAGTGGGTGTCCATGCCAGTTCTGGCTCCCTGCTCACCCTGTGCTTCTCTCCTGGCAGACCCCGCCATGGCAGGCCCAGACAGCAGTTCACCGTGGGGCAAGCATGTGCTCAAAGTCATTCTGATGGTCCTAGTGGCCCTCGTCCTCCTCCACTCAGCATCATCCCAGTCCCATGCAGACTTTGTGCCACCAGGCCAGCAGAAGAAGGAGGCCCCGGTTGATCTCTTGAGCCAGATAGGTCGCTCTATGTGGGGAACACTGGATGCCTGGCTTGGGCCAGAGACCATGCACCTGGTTTCCGAGGTAAGGACGGTGGTCCCTGCTGTGACCACACATATCGAAGAGAGATAAAGGGGGAGACGTTCATAGTCACCCTGTCTTGGCTCCACATCTTCTGTGCGTCATAATCCCTGGTGCAGAGAGCCCCACATTCCACAAAATGAAGCCAGACAGTACCTGCTTTTTGCGATCCCATTGTTTGATTCCTGCCCTGGGACCTTTAGCTCTTTCCCTTCTTCCTGCCCTTTCTTGTCAGAAAGACTGAGAAATGAACCAGTCTTTATAAACCCATGTCGCTGGATGACGATAGAGTCTGACTTTGGTCTAAATCTGACCTAAAGTCTTAAATTGGCAAAATATCAAGACCTGAACCCTGTAGAGGTAGAGGTAGGTCTGACTCAGGGCGTAAGGCAGGGCTGTCTCTTTTCCCTAAGGGCATCCCAGGCGTGGCATCACAGACTTTGCATAGGTCATTCTAAACAGTCCAGCCGCTCATTTATAACATCCATCACCCAGTAGAGCTGATTGACCCCTTTTTCACTGAAACATCCTAACCCTTCACAGATGTTGCTTCACACAACTTCGTGATTCCCTGGGAAGACCCCAATTTCACAGGGTGACTACCATAGAGATTTGTTGATTTCCCACACACACATTCATCTACTACCATCACCAAAGTATTCTGGCAAGTCAGTTGAATGAGGGCCCAGATGTCCCGAGTTCCAGTTCAGGAAGGACACACGGCCTGCTGTCCCTGCTTGGTGGGCTAACCTTTGGCTGAGAAGGAGGTGGGACCGTTTGTCCCGGGCCTTGCCCGGCGGGGGTCAGAGGCCTAAAGGAGAAGGAGCATGATTGATTGTGGACTCATCTCCTGCCCTGCTCTTTCCACAGACCTTGTCCCAGGTGATGTGGGTCATCTCTTCAGCCATCTCGGTGGCCTTCTTCGCGCTGTCTGGGATCGCTGCACAGCTGCTGAATGCCTTGGGAGTGGATGGTGAGCACCAGAGAACTGGTCAGGTCTCCCGGAGCTTAGCCTGTCACTTCCTGTTGGTGGGACTTTATCTTTTCAGGGCCCAGACTTTTTCCCAGCTGCTTGACGCCTGCCGGGTTTCCCCAGAGGCAAGCATAAAAGTGGGCTAATGACTGCAGCCTCCCAGGTGTTTGCTTCATGTTAGGCAGAGCATGGTGCTAAGCCATAGTATCTCATTTAACCCTTACCCGCAGCCCAGAGAATCACTCGCATTTTGCAGAGGAACCCGTTCAACCAAGGGCAGTAATCTACGCCCGACCAGCAGGAGCGGGAGCTGAGATTCAAGCTCCTAGCTTTGTGACCCTGTGGGAAAGGGTTTTTCCTTTGTAAGGGGGTTTAGCTCCTCCCCCTTCTTTGGTTCTTGTCCCCTGTGCCCTGACCACTCCAGGTTGGCTGATTCTGTAACTCTCCCTCTTCCAGGAGACCACCTCACCCAGGGCCTGAAGCTCAGCCCCAGCCAGGTCCAGACATTCCTGCTGTGGGGTGCAGGGGCCCTAGTCGTCTACTGGCTTCTGTCTCTGCTCCTTGGCTTGGTCTTGGCCTTGCTGGGGCGGATCCTGTGGGGCCTGAAGCTTGTCCTCTTCCTGGCCGGCTTTGTGGCCCTGGTGAGGTCAGTGCCCGACCCCTCCACCCGGGCCTTGCTCCTCCTGGCCCTGCTGACCCTCTACGCCTTGCTGAGCCGGCTCACTGGCAGCCGTGCCTCGGGGGCCCAACTGGAGGCCAAGGTCCGGGGGCTGGAGCGCCAGGTGGAGGAGCTACGCTGGCGGCAGAGGCGGGCAGCCAAGGGGCCCCGGAGCGTGGAGGAGGAGTGAGAAGGCCGCCGGACAAGGCCACCTTCGCCATACCAAAGAGCTGCACTGCTTCTGGATCGCACAGCCCTCCTTCCGGCCCCCGGCCCCTTTCTTGCCCTGTCTCTGAACTGTCAGAGCCTTCATCCCTGCACCAGACCCCCTAGCTGAGAAAGAGGAAGACCATGACCCATGATGGACCCCAGGAGCCCATCTTCTGAGGTTCTCTGTCTGGAATTGGTTGTCCTAACCCTTTCTCTGCTCCCAGCCTGCCTCAGTCAGGCTGGGTTGGCAGGGTCTCCCCTGTGGCTTGTGCATCTGTTCTCAGTGGACATCCCTGCCATTGGTCTCCCGTGACTCAGCCGGCTCCCCCCTCTCCTCCTGCCTTGCCTTCCTCCTGATGCTCTCACTCTCCTGTCCTTCTGGAGCTCCTCCTCTGCCAAGTCCCCAGCTTCCTTCCTGTTTGTCTCCTTCTAGCCCTGCACTCCACCCAAACCACAGTCCCTCGAGGCATGTTCCTGTCCTCTTCATTGCCTAGCCAGGGGGAAGAGGCAGGGCATATGGGACCTGAGGGGAAGGGCTGGGGGGAGTTCCCAAAGGGTTTGGGAATTAGAATGTACATTGAGTCTGTTACAAGTGCCTTAATTCGAGCCAGCAGGACCCTCTGCTTGCCCGCCGCTGTACTGTATGTAGGAAAGTGCACTGTGGCTGCTTTGTGTCAAGAAGAGAGTTTTCCCTCTCAGAATCTTGATTCCCCTTCAGCCAGAGCAAAAGGTGACTGCTTCATAGGCTTGTGCCTGCAAGTAGGACCCTGCGGTGGCCATCAGATCCCCTGTGGGGATTTCAGAGACACTGAAGGAGAAAGGAGGACTCCTCTCGTCCGCACAGCTCCAGACGGTTCTCCACCCCTCTCCCTCCACTCACTGCCACTAAGGAGTTGCTCATCAGGGTCCACCCCAGTGGCCTAGGGGGAGTGCAGAGCAGACACACCAGAGCTGCACACCATGGCTCCTTCCTCTCCCAAACTCCAAGAGGGGCAGGGTGCCTGCCACCTGAGCCCTCTCCACCAGGGGTCTCATTCTTCCTCTGAGGCTCTGGTGGCGGTGGGCGTCCTCTGCCAGGGCCAGCACAGGATGTGAAGAATGAACTCAGTGCTCAGTTCTTACTGTTAAGGTCTGATGTGGAATCACAGCAGCAGTGATATATATTTTTATCAGCGCTTGGTTGGTTTTAAATAAAATGCACGCTATTTTATTATCTCGTTCATATAAAATGTATTTACTCAAAGTGTTGGATGGCTTTCATTTGTCCCTCCAGCTAACTCCATTTCTGCGGAGCGGCTCGGTTTTCTTGACTTCTCCCTGCAGGGGCAGCGTGAAGCTGGTAGAAAGGGAGGGAGAAGGGGGAGCAAAAAAGAAGGCTGGTACCAGGCACCCTTCCCTCCTGGAGTGTGAGGGATGAGGAAGTCATGCCCCCTTTACAAAACTTCCAGGAACTGGCCCACACTCTTGGAATAGTGTGTATGGGGGGAGAGCAAGGAAGGGCACTCCTTCCCCCATGGTGGGCAAGAGTATGAAAGGCTGGCCCGCAGGCAGCCAGGAAATTTGCCTGCCCTCCCTCCTTCCCTCACCAGATGGGAGTTTCTGGCACTATGGTTCTCAACTTGGCCCATAGGTTAAATCAGTTGTTTTGTAGAGGGGCCCAGGTGTGGGGGTTTTTTTGTTTCTTTTTAAGCTGCCACAGAGATGCTAATGTGCAGCCAGGTGCCCTGGTCCGGACCTCTCCTAATTGTCTGGTAGGCAAGGCTGGGCCAGGAGGCCAGGACCTGGGTGGCAGGACTTCCCTCAGGAGCAGAGAGGCCCCCACCTTTCCTAGGCCCATGGGCCTCTCCCAGGGATGGGGCTGGGCCAGCCGTGTACACCTGAGACCTTCCTCCACAGGAGTGGCCCAGGACTCTGTCAGGGCAGGCCCAGGTGATCGTCACCTGGCCCATTTTGGCCCCTTTCTTCCCCTTTTCCGCCCCTGCAGTTCGGTTCCCCATAGCCCCAAATTCCAGTTCTGATTCAGGTGTCAGATACCTTCACAGGTGAGTTGCTTGTGGGCGGGCATGAGGCAGAGGAAGTGGCTGTTTGCTCCAGGGGCAGGAGCTTCCGAGAGGGAGCCAGCAGAACGCCTCGAGGCCCTCTTAGTAAGGCAGATCAGTCCCCAGGGAAGCGGCCTTCTCCCCGACCTCAAGCACGGGGCGCTCGGGGCTTGGGGATCCGTAGGGCACTAGGACCCGGCGGGGCGGAGGGGCAGCCCGTGTGCCGCGCTCGCTCCCTCCCACCCTCCTGCTCCGGCTCCCGCTCCATTGTCTGGGAGCTGCGGCCGCGGACAGGCGGCCGGGTTGGCGGCGGCGGGGACCCAGCCGGCGGGGTCGGAGCGGAGCGGGCGCGGGAGATGCCGGGCGGGCGGGGGCCACCTGAGCAGCCCGCCTAGTCCCCGCCCTCCGCGGAAAGGATGTGCGGCGGGATGGCGGGGCGCGCAGCAGCGGTTTCCCGGGGGCCCTGCGGCCCCTGGCTCTGCCTCCTAGTGGCCCTGGCCCTGGACGTCGTGAGAGGTCAGCGGGAGGGGAGGGGATGGGCGGGGCGAGGGGCGGCTGGGGCCCGGCCGGGCTGGAGGGATGCGGCGAGCCGGGAGCTGCGGGTTCCCGGACTGAGCCCGGAGCGGGGTCGCCCCGCAGCGCGCCCTGAGGGCTGGAGGTCTCACCCCTCGGATCTTCCCTCCAGCCGCGCTCCTCTGTTGCTTCCCTCACTTCCAGAACCCGGCAACTCTTCTGATCCAGGACCAGCAGGGTCCCGGGCTCTCCCCGCCAGCCCCCGCACCTTCCGAGAGCTCCCCCTCCCGCCCGGGCATTTAACCCGGCTGCCCCTGGCCCAGGCGCACCAGCTCCCTAATCTGCGGTCCACAGAGCTGCACCCAAGTGGCTCCTAGTCTCCCCCCTCCGCACCAACGACTCACCCACCGTCGACCCAGCCCCCACGGGCATGGGAAGCAGCCCCTTTGCCTGGGACCTGCGAGGTGTGCAGCCGCGCC